TTCTACCTCAAAACAAAATACAAAATATACACTATGCAAAATTCGAGCAAACCCAAAGGTTTGACACAAGACTAAGTTCACGGAACAGGGAACTAAGTTACGAGGAAAGATTGAGGAAATTGACCTTTAAGGCAGGGAAAGAGGGGTGTAAGAGGTCACATGAGAGACTCAGAAGCATTAATAAAGTCGACAAAAAACTATGTTTTTTATCATGAACAGAGGCAGGAAGTTGGACATGGCTGAAACCTGGAAACTCAGATGAGCAATAACGAATTATGGAAGTACTTCTTTACTATAAGAGTAGTGAGCAAGTAGAATGAGGTTAAGTATTATACTGAATCACTGTACTGACTCAATAAATAGGTACCTGGGAGTTAGACAGCTGCTACGGGCTGCTTCCCCCTAGATGTGTGTGTGTGTGTGTACTCACCTAGTTGTGCTTGCGGGGGTTGAACTCTGGCTCTTTGGTCCCGCCTCTCAACCGTCAATCAACAGGTGTACAGGTTCCTGAGCCTATTGGGCTCTATCATATCTACACTTGAAATATCATATCTACACACTACACACTACACGTGTGTGCGTGCGCGTGTGTTAGAAATATACGTAGTAGATATAATAGAGGAAAAATAGATTGGTTAGAAAAGCGGGGTCCAAGAGCTAATAACTCGATTCTGCAGACACAAATAGTAAACACACACACACACACACACACACACACACACACACACACACACAACCATATTACCTGGTGAGGTAGCTCGCAAATGAACCACGGATCAACCGAATTTGTCGACTGGACTTGACTATGTGGGGTGTACAGAGAGAAATGTCCTAAGGTGATATTATGCGAGCTGGAGTGAGGTGAAATGAGCCGGAGGAGATGTGATATGAGTTGATGAAAAATGAGGTGATTCAGTGAAAGGGGGGCTGAGGGAGGGGGGTGGAATGAGGTAGTTGTGTCAGGTGAGGCGAGACGTGTTGAGGTACATATCAGCCATCACCACGACCCCAAAACACAGTCTGTTCTCTGCCTCATTAAGAAGTTTTAAACTCGGTGTTTGCTGTAGCTAAGTAAATCGCTCCCAGATACGGTACATACGCTCCCTACGGTACATACCCTGAGGCTAAGGGGTTAAGGGACACATTAACCCCCTGAGGCCAGGGGGATTAATGGTCAAGCCCTTAATTTTGTTATAATATGCCCTTCATAAATACATACAAAGGATACCTGATAAGCCAGATATATTGCCATCCTGATACTGTCAGGGGGCAGCATAGTGTCCCCCTGGCACTGTCAGAGGCAGTATAGTGTCACCCTGGCACTGTCAGGGGCAGCATAGTGTCACCCTGGCACTGTCAGGGGCAGCATAGTGTCACCCTGGCACTGTCAGGGGCAGTATAGTGTCACACTGGCACTGTCAGAGGCAGCATAGTGTCACCCTGGCACTGTCAGGGGCAGCATAATGTCACCCTGACACTGTCAGTGGCAGCATAGTGTCACCCTGGCACTGTCAATGGCAGCATAGTGTCACCCTGGCACTGTCAGGGGCAGTATAGTGTCACACTGTTGAGGTAGCGTCCACCCTGGCACTCCCTTCTCTGAGCTACACAGTGCCAAGATAGTATGAAAGAATTACTAATAAGCTTCCGGGAGAGAGGCAGTAATTAACACTAACAAACCCTTGAGCTCCTTGTGAACCCCCTGCCTGTCTGCTGCCACTCTGTGATCCCCCTGCCTGTCTGCTGCCACTCTGTGAACCCCCTGCCTGTCTGCTGCCACTCTGTGAACCCCCTCCCTGTCTGCTGCCGCTCTGTGATCCCCCTGCCTGTCTGCTGCCACTCTGTGAACCCCCTGCCTGTCTGCTGCCACTCTGTGAACCCCCTCCCTGTCTGCTGCCACTCTATGAACCCCCTCCCTGTCTGCTGTCACTCTGTGAACCCCTCCCTGTCTGCTGTCACTCTGTGAACCCCTCCATGTCTGCTGTCACTCTGTGAACCTCCCTCCCTGTCTGCTGTCACTCTGTGAACCCCTCCATGTCTGCTGTCACTCTGTGAACCCCCTGCCTGTCTGCTGTCACTCTGTGAACCCCCTGCCTGTCTGCTGTCACTCTATGAACCCCCCTCCCTGTCTGCTGTCACTCTGTGATCCCCCCTGCCTGTCTGCTGCCACTCTGTGAACCCCCTGCCTGTCTGCTGCCATCCTGTGAACCCCTCCTTGTCTGCTGCCATCCTGTGAACCCCTCCCTGTCTGCTGCCATCCTGTGAACCCCTCCCTGTTTCATTCCATCCTGTCTCCTCCCACGTCGCTCACTTCTTCAAGATGGAAAACTAAGTAATTTGCTCTGGTGTGATGGATCGACCCTGTCAGCTTCCTCCAGTGGTTCCCTGTTGGTATCCCACCTGACACAATTGAAGGATAGACTCGACTAACTCAAACGGTTTCCTTGGTTCGTTCTCACCCCCAGATAGTTGATAGAATGACCTAGCCAGCTACCACCAGTGGATCGTTGCAGGCTTCCAAGCTACCTGAGATAGATGAAGTCTAAATCTTGTCACGTTCCTTTCACTGTCTCGTTCGATACCACTCGAGACATATGGAATTGGTGATGACACTCTGAGAACTCAAATTTTCCTCTGCCAAGTTAAGTTTCCTGTAAATTATCTAAATTTCATGAATTTTGCTAAATTGGTTTTTAAAGTTTATAGAATAGGAAATATTTGTTGAATATAAGTCCCATCTTAACAGCAGTAAACGATATTTGTTTCGTAAATGAAAAAAGACATTCACAACCCCCTCCCTCATAAATATCATAAATAATGCAATGTAATATGTAAAAATTAACACAACATTTCACTGTGTTAAATACAATAAAGAAAGAAATGTAAAATTCGCCGACTCCTCGAGAAACACAGCTGAGATATATCCAGCGTGATACTAATTGCAACATTCGTCTCTCAAGAAAGACCTGTCAGGTGTTCAGTTGCAGAGTACCGTGTCATGATTGCAGCTCTCAAGAGCAAGGAAAGACTCGCCCAGATGCTCGACACAAACCTTGTTTTATGGTGTTGGTCAGGTGAGGATTTATTAGGTCAGGTGAGGAAATATTAGGTCAGGTGAGGATATATTAGATCAGGTGAGGATTTATTAGGTCAGGTGAGGATTTATTAGGTCAGGTGAGGATATATTAGGTCAGGTGAGGATATATTAGATCAGGTGAGGATTTATTAGGTCAGGTGAGGATATATTAGGTCAGGTGAGGATATATTAGATCAGGTTATTTCTCGTGGGTAGGTGAAGTCAGGTCATCTGTCGTGGGAAGGTCAGGCCAAAGGTCGTATCTCGTAAGTAGCTCAGGCCAGAGGTCGTATGTAGGTCAAGTCAGATCAGGTTGTAGCCAGATTTATATTACAATTATATTATGATTTAGATTAATATATAAACATTTAAGAACTGTTTAGTATTTTGATAATTTAAGGTGCTGTATATTTCGCTCATATGTTAGTGTTTTACTGTGGTTGTAATAAATATTTGCATTTCTAAAACTGTCCATCACAACTTCCTCCTATACCTCTTTGTCTAGAATATTTGTCTGCACATCTTTGCAGCCCTATTTTGTGTTAGTTGAGACTTACAGAGAGTAAGACGGTTTCCAGAACGTATTCTCTTCTTCAGGTAACAAACATCTTTGTCACAAGGTGCCGGAGGAGCGCGGCACGACCCACGACATCGTTTATCAACAAAAAACTCAATTTTGTGGTTGTCATCTCCTGTACATGCTGCAAAAATAGCTTGCACAGAATAAAACAAAATAACCTTCCGGAAGGGACCAGGGGTACTGCTCTATATCAGCGTTCTGTTGCCTGCTCGCGGCCGGCCGGCAGTAGGAAACCACGTCAAGCACTCGTCCTTCTTCCGGACAGTGAAGACACACACGCTTAATGCCTCCTACCATCGAGGCAGGGGCATAAAAATAACATTCACCGAGAGGGCCATTTGGACTAATGTCTCCTGCTCGCCTGGGGACCAATATGACCCGAGGAAAAAATTAAAAAGAGTAGAGCTCTGGGAAAAAGAGTAGGTGGGTGGGGGTGTGACAATCTGAGAAAAGACTCAGGATGTGATAACCGGTGTGAAATGGAGAGGACGGCTGGCTGACTTGTGGATGGAAGAAGGGGAATAAGAGAGGGAAGAGGGGAGCAGTAAAGATGAGAGATGTGTCGAGTAAGAGGGCAGAGAGAACTGGAGGTGTGTGGAGTAAGGCAAGAGGGCATAATGGAGGCTACCAGTTCCTGGGTCGGTGACACTGGGTGCGTTAAACTGTCGTGTCTGTGGTGCCGTTAAAGCATCTCTATGTCTCTCCCCCCGTATGGCCGAGATATCGTATGGCGAGCACAAAGGCCGTTCTGTATAATTCCGTTATCGGAAGTCGCCATCCCAGGCGTATATATATTTCAGCCCAAACTAGCGATTTACTATATCACTGTAAGGCCATTAGACGCCAAGAACAACATTGATATCGGCTAATACACCCTTGACTAAAAATTAGCGAGCCCCTCCAGGATATGATGAGCAATGAATGGACCTCTCTCTCTCTCCCATTCAATCCATTACTGTTTCATTTCTCATGTTCTTCTCCTTCAGAACGGGAAGCAGGAGCAAGGATGGGAGTCTGGGGGGTCGAGAGGTGAGAATTAAAGGTGAGAGATGAGGTAGTAAGAGGTGTGAGAGATGGGATGCAGGAGACAGGAAAGAGAGAGACATGGAAATCTATTTATTTTCCTCAGACGCATTTTGAAAAATAACTATTATATATAGTAACTTATATAATATTATATATATATATACTGTTTAAAGTTACTCTTCATTCAGTATTATTTATTACTCCTAATTATCCTCCCCCGTTCAGCAAGTTAGCGATTACTTCTAGTTACCTCTTATTTAGCTAGTTATTATTCATATTTACATGTTATTCACACTTTTAACTATTCATTTCCAGTAGATGAGGCGCGTTTGATCGCTGGCCGGAGGAGGAGACAACACAACAGAGGTGAGTAAAGAGATCCTTCATTCCAAGTTCATTTCCTCGACCAGATTTATAAATCCGGAATTTTGGTGTAAACACTTAGCTGTTTACAAAAGATCGAGCTTCAGCTCTTGGGTTTTTCTGTTCAAACTTCAATCATCTAAAGTACAGGGATCTCTGACACGGCTCTAGGGAGGGAAGAACATTCATCACAGGAGCTTTGCTGCAGGTATTAGATATAAAAAATGAAAGTTAAAAAAAAAGGAAAGAATGTCCGGAGAGATTAAAGTAAGGGAGACGAGAGGAAAAAGGCAAGTCAGAGGCACAGAAGTAGCAGAGCAGGATGAAGCTATTGCAAGATATGAAGTAAATGATAAAGGGTAAATCTTCAAGGCAGTGATGATTTACGCAACTGAAATAAACAGGAGTGATGCTACAGGCATCACACAGGAAGGGGTGAAACAGGAAGGTGGTGATGGGAAGGGATGCTGCAGAGATGGGAGGGGGGATAAAAGGGGGAGATTAAGGGAGTAATGGGAAGGGATACTGTGGATGAGTTAATAGCCTTAAGGTAGGAACTGGAAGAATTTGAGCTGTCAAACAGTCTGGAGAAGGAATTAAAGAGAATATCCAAGAACATGAGGTAAAGTATAAGAAGCAAAGATTCTTGAATTTACAAGAGAAACTTTAATATAAGACATCTCAGGAGGTCTTTACAAAGACTAGACAAGACTTATGATACGATAAAATAACAATTAACCCAGCAACATCAAAACCCACCGACTGACACAGCGAAACAAGCACTTGAGGAACTTGTTATCAATTATCAAAGCTAATTGATAATTATTAATTATTTTTCATAATTCATAGTTGTAAAAAAAAATATACGGACTCACACATTTCTCTAAGATACACGATAGCTCAAAAATAACGCCCAAGAGCCATATTTCCGATGCAGGCGATGAGTCACATTAACGTGGCTGAAGTATGTTGACCAGACCACACACTTGAAATTGAAGGGACGACGACGTTTCGGTCCGTCCTGGACCATTCTCAAGTCGATTGGTCGACTTGAGAATGGTCCAGGACGGACCGAAACGTCGTCGTCCCTTTACCTTCTAGTGTGTGGTCTGGTCAACATATTTCCGATATTTCCGATACTTTGAAAACTGTAAGTCAATTAGGGAAAAATCTAACCAATCGCCGTTTTCACTAATTTGCATATTTTCGGTATAAAAAATCATACTTTAAAACTGCAAATATGTGCAATGAGCCAGAATTCGGCTAAAAAATAACGCAATCAACGTGTAATATTTAACGCAAAAATATATGCATTCAGGGTGATTGCACGTATTTTGAGTTTTAAATTACGACTTTTTATACCGAAAATATGCAAATTTAGTGAAAACGGCGATTAGTTAAATTTTGCCTAAATCCTCCCAGAAGTTTTCAAAATACGATGCTTATCGGAAATATGACTCTTGAACGTTATTTCAGAGTGATTGCACGCATTTAGAGGTATAAATTACGACGTTTTATATCGAAAAGATGCAAATTAGTGAAAATGGACAAATAGTCAGATTTTACCCAAATCCCCCCCCCCTGAAGTTTTCAAAACACGATGCCTATCGGAAATAAGCCAGGAAGGTTACTGAGAAAGACTTGTTCATCTACCATCCCTATCAATCTTATTTAGTGTAAACGTGGCCAGGGACAACCCGTTCTCGCACTTGCTTACATTCAATATTGGCTTATTTAATAAGTGCATATGTGACATATGTAACAGCCAATATTGACTATAAGCAAGTGCGAGAACGGGTTGCCAGGGAACATGTGATGTGCGCCTACCAGCAGAGTGCTGTAGCCTCCAGCACTGAACAGTGTCATATTTTGCTCGGGTGGGGCCTATCTACTCCAGTAAATATCCTGGCAAAAGAAAAATCAACTACTTTTCCCATAAATGGTTGTACATTTATGAGTTAGTTTACCGAGAACTACAGTACATTATTTACGCTAGAGAGCCATAAGAGCTGCATTACACACAATCGTTATGTACTGCATAATCATATTTACTAAACTAGATCTGTGCTAATTGGGTCATTGCATAATCCAATGTGATGTTATTTGTTGATGTATTGCGGTAACTAACCTGCTGGGAGGCTGTGGAAACCTGCGCCAACTCCAACCACAGCTGTAAAAAGCAAACCTGCAAAGTCATAGCAAACAGCAGTGTTGTACCTGATTCCTAGAAGAGAAGCCCCTATTAGATCAAAAGCTATTCATCTTAACTAACAAGCATATATGCTGTAAATAAGCGTATATACACGCAGTCTATTATATGTTGCGAAGCCGGGCCCAAGAGCTGAGGCTCAAACTCAGCAAGCACGACTAGGCGAGTATAACATTACGAGTCTACAGAGAGAGAAAAAAAACACGTTTTCATATATTATTTCCTTACGAAAGAGATTTTTTCTGTAACTGTCTGTCATAGTTTCTGCTGTTTTTTTCGCAAATTAACAAAACGCCAAAGATGTTGAATAAGGGAAGGATTCCACCGGAACATGGTTCTGATTGGCCGAGCCTGGTGACCTCCCTTCCCCCTTCAAATGGTTGAGATAAAACCCTGTAAAAGGCTCGTGAGACTTGATAAATGCCATTACCATCTTTGACGGAATCTCTTATTCCTAAATGGGGACTCCAATTTTAAAGTGTCTCAAGTTAAACTTCCGACCAAGAGCTCTGGAATGAATATTGCTGAGCTCTTGGACTGGAACACTGAAATTGGAACGATGTATATTGAATTCCACGTCGGAAACGCTGATTTGGGGGACTATTTCTCCGTACTAGGTAAAAAATACTTGACGATGCTTCATGCTGTATGAAAACACGGGGATTTCGGAGGCTGGTATAGGTTCCTAGGTGATATGTGTGTGTGGGGAGAGGCCGGCGGCCATATTAGATATCCTAGGGATAGATATCGAACTAGATATCAAATTATGGAACAAATTAGATAGATATCAAATTATGGAACAAATTAGATAGATATCAAATTATGGAACAAACTTTCGGGTGACGCAATAGACATGAGATTGTTGGATTGTTTTAAGCGTTGATTGGACATATATATATAGAAATGAGTTTGGGTAAATATAAATAGGATCTACACCGTACGAGTCAGTGGGATTTCAACAATCACCTTTAGGGAATACATCAATTTATTTCTTGAGGGGAAGACATCAAAGAGTCATCTCCTCTTACACGTATCTTCTTGGTTCTGACTTGTTCCTTCAGTGCTAATTTGACGTCTTTTTAACACTATGTGATATAGAAATACTGCCCCATCTATCTACTGTTCTATCGTGTTCGGAATGATCTTTCAGATTCAGGCATTTTATAACTTTTCTGAACGCCAGAATATTATATCTTATTCTGAATCCCTTATTGTGTTTGTTGATTGTGTTCCTCAGACGGAAACTTTGGCCCACGCTTCTGTGATGAGAGTCGCTGCTCTCATTGTTAGGCAGAAACCGCCAACTCCAGGAAATTTTGGCGCGATATGAATGCGCATGCATTTCCTCTGGCTGGGAGCTGGGGTAAGGATGTGCATGCATTTCCTGCTGCTATTAGCTGGGATAAGGATGTGAATGTGTTTCCTAGGAGCTGGGTAGGGATGTAAACATTATCTACGGCTAGGAACTGATGTTGCAAGGATCATGTTTGTATTTAGAGCTGAAGTTGAGCTTACAAAGAGAACCAGCGAATGGAGGTTTGACGTCCAGGGGCCAGATTTATGAAGCAGTTACGCAAGCACTTACGAACCTGTACATCTTTCCTCAATCTTTGCCGGCTTTGTTTATAATTATTAAACAGTTAATGAGCTCCGAAGCACCAGGAGGCTGTTTATAACAATAACAACAGTTGATTGGCAAGTTTTAATGCTTATAAACTGTTTAATAAATGTAACCAAAGCCGCTAAAGATTGAGAAAAGTTGTGCAGGTTCGTAAGTGCTTCGGTTCCTAACTGCTTCGTGAAACTGGCCCCAGGTCTTCATTATAACCTAACAATTTTTAGCCTTTGCTCCTTTCCGGACTGTAACCTGTCCTCTTAAAAAGAACGTCGCAATTCGCACGTATGCGTCACATACGGTCAATTTTTTTTATACTAGAAAATGGAAGCGGCTCACGAAAGTGACGTACTGTCCCGTTTTCTGTAGTGGGTCCTCTGGTAGGTTAGGAGAGACCACTTTAAATAAACAAATCCACAAGGGCTTTGACGAGGATTCGAACCTGCGTCCGGGAGCATCCCAAACACTGCCTTAATCGACTGAGCTACGACAGGGTACGTAGGTACGACAGGGTACGTAGGTACGACAGGGTACGTAATCCGGCCCTTGTGGATTTGTTCATGTGATGCAACACGTTAGTGTGATCTCTGTGTGTAACCACTTTAAATAGACCGTTTTCTTGACGTTGGGAAACCTAAGGAGGACGGACTGCTCTCCAACTATTTTTGTGCTCTCTAACTTAACAAAAATCAAGGAGGTGCTGCTGCTGGGCTTGTTCTGAAGTTCTCTTTTTCTTCCCCATCTCTGTGTGATCTCAGCAGAATTTCCCCGCCCCCTGAGGTTCAACCACCAGTTGTTTATCTCTCAGAGCTCTCTGGGGAAATTTCTCCAGTCCAGTTTCTCCCTCTAAATAGTATACTGTTTAATTTCCGGAAGTTCCGAGTAATTTTACAACAGAATGGGAGAAGGAACCGAGTTTTATTTCATGATTTTAATTTGTCTCAGTTATATCTGTTTTCTTTGTGATTTATTGTGTAAGAAATGATGTATAGGGAGCCGGTCGGCCGAGCGGACAGCACGCTGGACTTGTGATCCTGTGGTCCTGGGTTCGATCCCAGGCGCCGGCGAGAAACAATGGACAGAGTTTCTTTCACCCTATGCCCCTGTTACCTAGCAGTAAAATAGGTACCCGAGTGTTAGTCAGCTGTCACGGGCTGCTTCCTGGGGGTGGAGGCCTGG